TTAGAATATATTTTCAATCATGTTCCCCTGTAAATTGTAAACTGTGCTCCATCCATTATTCTGAGTGTCTGCTTGTCATTTGTAATTATTTGAGATATCCAATTATTTTTTTGTTAGTGATGAAATTTGTTTCCTCATCATTTATTTGTTTCCTTTTGTTCTGTAGTTGGTTGTATCAGATATCGAATTATTTTTTAATATCTGTTTGTGGTGTTTCTTATGAAGTTCTCCCCCATTCTCTCCACTGTCTTTTCTTCTTCCTTTTTAGTAAGAATATCAAGTAAATTTAGATTCCAATAAAGCACATATTGGTGTAAACATATTTTTAAAAATGTCCACGAAACAGAGATAGATTTCAAAGGGTTCGGTGGTCCCATTGCCAATATTTCAACATTGAGGTCTGAAAGATTTTCTTCTTCATGCGACTAGGATTACTCCTGTTTGTCTGCCTCTTATTCCGTTTTAGTCATTGTTGACTGTACATTATCGTTCCACCTTTTTGGCGGCCTTCTAAAGGGTCTTCTGCTATACGGTTTGTTGTCTGGTCCCATTCGGTTTACATGTTCGTTCCAATTTTTTTTTCTTGTTTTTATCTACCTGTTAATATTTTGAATTTTGCATTGTTCGCGTATACTTTCAGTTGGTTTGTCTGTCTCTTAATGATATGCCCGCTATTGATCTTATTATTTTTATTTCGATATTGTTGATTTGTTGCGTCTACATGTTGAAATGTGGTTATTTCGAAGGATGCTGAAAGTCCCCTGGACAGCGCATATGAGCAACGAGCAGGTCCTACACAAGATGGGTACCGACAGAGAACTGTTAAAAATAATGAAAACACGGAAAACCTCATATTTGGGACACATATACAGAAATGAGAAATAACAGCTACTGCAGCTTCTTATAGAGGGGAAGGTAGAAGGAAAACGTGGTCCTGGTAGACGGCAGGCGTCCTGGTTGAAGAACATTCGTGAGTGGACTGGTTTGGATTCTCAATCTTTAATAAGAAAAGCCAGGGACAGAAATGATTTTGCTGAGGTTATCGCCAACCTTCATTGAAGACGGCACCCAAAGAAGAAGAAGATGAAAGATCTTTTGTTTATATTTCTACATCTGTGTTTTAATCTAAAAAATCTGGACTTCTAAAAACGTCTTCTTGTCCTTATTAGGAGCTTCTTTCGTTACCTGACCATATTGTAAAATGACCTGTTCTAAGCATTTTTTGCATTGGTAAACATGTCTTGCAGTTGCAGACAATATGTAGTGTTTTTCCTATGTATATTTGCGGAATTTGCATGTAGCCCTGTCCAGCGATAATATCCGAGTGAGCAGTGTCCAGTATCTACTAAGAGCATATATAATTAGTCTGTGTTCAGTTTTATGCAAACTATACGAACACTCTGCGTGGCAATTAGAGGGCTGCATATTCGATGGCATTCAGATTAGGTCGCACCAAGCTCATTTAAAATTTTATTATAATATAATATAAAACTACTATACGTATAGGTTTTTTACAATTATGTTAGTCAATTGTTTATGGATTTTAATTCAAACATTCTTAAGAATAAAGGGCTTTTTAGGATCTACGACCTTTATTTTAGATAAATATTAAGAAACGTTGAAAAGAAAAAACGTTTTATAGACAAAAAATGATTTTTATCAATTTTATGATTATTAAAAAAACAAAACACAATCAGCTGTACGTCTTCACGGATTTGTCATCAGCTATCCCTCAATACCTTTTAGAACCTTCAAATATATGTATAAGATTGTACAACAAATCGATGATTTTTTAGTCTCAAACAATTGGTTTAAATTTGTTAAAAGTTTTGGCTGAAGAAAATTCATCATTTTTCATTAGTACTAAACTAATAACAATCGTAGTAGACGATTGTTTCAACTTGTTTTCGTTTTATGTTGTAACCATTGTTGGCTAATTTGTTACTGCTTTCATTTATACTTAAATTGCGTTTTCAACTTTATTTACAATTCACACATACACGGTTTTGCTTTGTTTTATTGTATAAACTTTCGTAAAGACGCTCCTTATATAGCAAAACGGCTGCCTACGAATTGAACCATCGTTTATATTGGCATTGCTATGAATCTTACACGATAATCATACCGAAAAATGTACTGTTTGTCCATTAATTACCACTACAGCGTTGGTTTAAAAAAGTTTGCTTGTTATTTGAGCGCAGTATTCGTGGGACTATTTTACAGTTCTGTACTGTATGGTTTCTTAAGTGCATATAAAATGGCAGAAATGAGAATACCTACACACAAATAAGTACAAGAGTCATCGAATTTATTGCAAAAATGAAACGAATTGAGGTAGGCGTATTGCAAATAAGGCAGTATCGTTTGTTATAAGATATTTCATACAAGCACCTGTCTGAGCAGCTATAGACATCGTAGGTGATGAGAAATATGAGATATAAATCTGAATCTAAAAAGAAAATCTTTATTTTTATAAGTATTCAACTATATCCAATATTTAGTCCATTGCAAATATTTAATCTTTGAAAGCCTTTTTCCATTTGTGTTAATTTACTGAACTATATAAACACTTTTTTCTATCTAAAAGTCATATTAACTCGTTAAAATGTACTTATAATTATCAATATAATTATTTTAATCAATTGTTAAGCAAAATTCCTGTTTCTCCTGACCTGTGACAGTCATGTTCTAGTCTAATCTAATAGTTGTGATAAGAGAGATAAAGTGAAAACTCGTAGTATATAAGCTATGCAGTGCTTTTCACGTGACTTGCCATTTTTATTTATCGTATGGCACTTATCACATTTACATTAAATTTACATATATTTTGTTAGACATTACATATATGTTTACAAACGAACATCTAACTTATTTATATATTCTATCAATTCTGGAGTCGCCATTAGGAAATCCTCTCACCTGCCTTAATAGGATCTTGTGGATCACTGTTCTGTAATGTGATAGATGGTTTGTGGTTGTCCGCGATCACAGAATGGGGATGGTCGTTTACCCCATCTGTGCATCATATAACCGCATCTGCCGTGTTTGATTCTGATTCGGTTCAACATAGTCCATGTGTTGCGTGGTAAGTCAAAACCTGGTGGTTTTTGAGTGAAGGAAGGTAAGCTGCTATTTTGTTGTTCCATGCATTCTCGAGTCCAAGTGGTCGTTAAGGTGAGCTGGTTTGGCAGCATCTATGTCTTGATGAATTGGTAGGATTTCGTTACTAAGTATCTTTTGGTACTCACTAGTGAGGGAGTGTATACGCCGTAGTTTGGGTGGGGGAATGTGGCTCAGTACTGGGAGCCATTGCGTAGGGGTGGATTTGATAACACCAGCAATCATTCTCATTGTATTGTTCAATTGGGCATGTACTTTGTGTATATGTGGGTTGTTAAGCCAAGCTGAAGAGCAGTATTCCGCGGTTGAGAAGATAAGGCCCAGAGCAGATTAACGCAAGGTAGAAGCCGATGCTCTCCATGTTGTGCCGCACAGCTTCTGGATGATGTTGTTTCTGGATTTAAGTTTTTCCGCTGTTTTTGACAGATGTTTCTTGAAAGATAGGATTCTATCAAGAGTCACCCCAAGGTACTTTGGTGTTTTATTGTAGGCCAGTGTGGTGTTTTCGAATTGGACGTTCTGTGTTCTTTCTGCAAGCTTGTTATTTAGATGGAAATTGGAAACCTATGTTTTGGTAGCGTTTGGTTGGAGCCTTCATTTACGCAAATACTTTCCCACTGTGTGTAAGTCTGCCGTGACGATTCTTCGAAGACGTAAGTCTTCTGTTTGTTCAATTGACTTACATCTTGTTGCAAGGACCCAGTCATGGGTGTAGCAAACTTCCTTGATCTGGTTGCTGGTATATTAGCGATGTATAGGCTAAAGAGAAGAGAAGCTAGGACAGATCTCTGAGGCAGTCCATTCTTTAGTTTTCTTGGGGTGCCGATGTCGGTTCCCATAACTACTTGAATCTCGGTCGGCTATCTTTTCGGTCGGAAACCTGCCTGATCAACCGGTATCGATTCAAGAAGCTTTGGACTAATTCTGTTATAGATAAGTCGTTATAGTAGTATGACTGACATAATCTTATGTAGTAAAAGCGTGACTTGACATAATCTTATGTAGTAAATATCTAGAGGAGGTACAAGTTATGTTATGATGATACTAAATTAAGATTGGTTTTATAGTAAAAAGCATCTCTTAGAAAGAGCAATGAAGATTATTAGAAAGAATTAATGTCATGAATTAGAAATAACGTAATTAATAGTTGAGTATTTAGAGAAAGTAATTAGAAATATGATTATTTAAGAATGCTGAACAAACATTGACTAGCAAAAATACATCTAGAAATATCTGACATGGGATAGTCAATCGTCACCAATGCGGGTGCCGGAGTCCAAGAGAACCAATTATAAGCTTCGCTAGCAAAGCAGTCTCTAGAGTAATCTCTGAAAGCACAGAACCACTCTACTAGAGCCCTACAGAGACAGCACTTATTTAGAAAAAGTCATTATTAACATTGCTCTACGCAATTCAGAAGAAGTTAAAGAAAGTATAGAATAGAAAGGAAGAAAGAAGAATAGGAAAGAGCACCGACTAAGTAAGCTAAATAGACAGAAGACAAAAGAAAGGTGGGATTCGAGAGCCAGAAAAAGATAAATATATAACAATAACAGATTCACTGAAATAATTTAAGTCTGAACAAACTGAGAAAACCAAAATCAGCACCAGTTAATTTCATTTTCAGCAAATTAACAAATACCACAAAAGTCCTAACCAACAGCTTATAGAAAGCTGTTGGCTCTTATCAAGGCACAGCGAGCTTCTAATAGGTAATAAACTGGAATTGGAATATAGCTCCTGGGACGTCAACATCAAAATATATGTATATTTCTATGTTAGTACTTGTAAAAATATAGTCACTACATATAAACTGCTAACCAAAAGAATAAGCAAAAAATCTTAAAATACATTTTTAATAAAAAGTTATTTTGTTTCAGGCACCCTTTGAAGTACAAAAACGTCTAGAAGAGGTCCGCCTTTTGGAATCACGAAAGTCTGCACGGTTAGCAGATCAGGATACCGATTTCGCCCGATTAGCCGATATGGCCGGTGACAGAAAAAGAACCGCGTCACACACCATAGATGTGCCAGCTCCGTCTTATCACCACGGGTAAGTAAATAGTAAATCCTAACAAGAATGTCAGTATAGGAAAACCGACACATTGCTCACTTTCTTTTGGTAGTCCATTCCTATCACACATCCGAAAGCCACTTGAACCATTCTATTTTAAAGATTTAAACCAAACATCCATCTTTGGATATATTCTTTATTCCATTCTTCCATTCCTTTTTTCGTTTATGGTTCCACAGTCTCGAGTATATAAGTACCTTATTCCATTTTTCGTCTTTTGCCTTTAGGCATGTCCAGCAAATTTCGATTGTAAGTTTTGCTAATTGTTTTAAGACGTCTTTCACTTTTCTTTTGTTACGGATCCAGTCATTTATTTTCCTGTAAGGTAGTTTGATGTTTGTCTCTCCATGGATCTTTCTGTTTTTCGTACTGTCTGTTTGATCACTTTATTTATTAGTTTTTCCTGTTGGTTGGTCATCGTTTTTATTTTATTATAATTTATCTTTAAATCCTATCTTTGCCGATTCTCTATTTAGTTCGTCCATCATTCTTTGCAGTTCTTCCATTTTGTTTGTTTCAAACAGAAGAGTAAATCGACTGAAAAACCATATAAAATTATTATCACTGGTTTTTCTTTGAAATCACCGAACGGAATAGAATATAGATGTAAAAGTTTTAATAAGGAAGTTTTTTAAAATCATTAAGTCCAGATTCAAGATGATTATCGAAACGTCACAGATTATAAAAAGTCAGTTACGTTTTTTTATCTGCAAACTAGTGACAATTGAATTTTAATAAAAAACGAAACAATTAACCAAAAATGCGGCCTGTCCAAAATAAACGCTAGAATTAGTTTTTTCCTAATGCCCATGAATGTATTAAGATGTGTGTAAAAATCAGTTAGATATTTATAAAAAAAAATTTCACTTTTGATTTGTATCTATATAACTGTTATTGAAAACGATTCGTACCATCTGTTAATACTACAATTTTAAGTTTATTTACATTGCCGACATGCTAAAATTGGGTTATGTAAGTTTCAGAAGCCACAGCACTACACACATCAGTGTCGTAGGCGAAAGCTTTTATCTGACTAGCCAAATTGAATGAATCATTCATGGTTCACAAAAACAAACTTAACGTTAAATTGGTCGACAGTGAATCATTTTTAGTCAGGCTGAAAAAATCCGTTGGTCCATAACGGTTTTATGTGATGTGTATAGAAATGTAGTTAATATTAGCATAGTACATAAATCTGACATAACGAATTCAAAAAAGTTAAAAGACAAGTTTTACAGGAAAGATGACGACCCACTTAATTGTTAATTTGAATAATTTTGTTGTATGGAACATATCTTAAATTTTTAATTATACATAAAAAGTGTATCAACAAACATTATATAAAAAATGTATGCTAAAAATATAATTCTAATTATTCTAGAATCTTGAATAATTGTTCTGGAACTTACAAGACCTCTGAAAAAACTTCTTAGAGAATAATATCCTTTAGTCCTTTTGGACTACGACGGCCAGATTGGCTAAACTAAAAAGACATATCTTTTTAGTTTAGCCAATGTACTGGTTATCCTTTTATACTTTTAAAGTGGTGGTCTATAGTAGTCTAATATCATAATAAACGTCATACGTTTAGTTTAGGACATAACGGTAAAAATAGTAGAAAATCGCAGAATTTCGTTTATATACATCGATTTGCTTGAAATTTTGGCAGGAGTTAAAATATAGCTCAAAGATCAAAATCTACTCTATATCATTATGTGCTTTTCTTCTGGGGTTGGTTACCACCCCAACTTGTGGGGTGTAAAAAGGTTATAAAAAAACCATGGTAGCCGGTAGAACAGTGAATTTTAAGGCAAAAATGTTCTTTTCAGAAAGTTTTTTCAGAAATTCAATATTTTCGAGTTTCTCGTGACATAAATGACTCTACATAGATTACAAGTCAAAAAAGCATGATTTTAAACAGTTCTGCGCATATAACTCGAAAAATTTATATTTTATCAGGAAAACTGTCTGGATATTCAATGAAGCTTATAAACGAAAGAGATTTGTTTTTCATTATTACCGTAAACTAAATACTAATAAAGTAGTTATGGCTGTTCGAAAATAGACTTTTATTCATCTAAAACAAAACTCCAAACATATGACGTTGAATAAGCGGAAAACGGCAAGTTTTTCGTTAATAACTTAAAAAATATTTTTTGAAGATCTTAAAAAAATCGCCGGAGGCTAGCCAGTTACTAGCACAATGGCATACCAGTATCTAGCAAGCACCAGCTACTGTCTTCAAACTGGCAAGTGTGTACGTTAACCGGCATGCTAGTTCCTGGCATGCTAGCTAATTGCAAAGAATTTTATTTTTCTTGCTAGTAGCATTTTGTGAGAAATGCGTGGAGAGGGTCACTGGCATGTGTGAACGCGCGCTACCGCTACTGGCATGCCAGTAGCTAGAAGAGAATTGTCATATTTGTTGTGTTGGTGATCAAACTAATCGTTTTATTTTAAACTTGTTAATTTAAAAAAATGTTTCGTTAGGGTGATGAAAAAACCATCAAATTTATTGTTATATATAGAGAGAATTGGAGATCCAGTTTCTCAACCTAATTTTTCTCTTTTTTGAGTTCCGTTTCAGATTCATATTTCTAACAATATCTGTGGTCATGAGCAATATTTGCTTGTTGAATTCATTCCGAATACCTTCGATGGATCTCCTTTTTTTGTTGGAAACTAAAAACTTTTAATTACAAAAGAAGTACTTTAGTTTCGGATAAAAACCACTCGATTGTTTATTAACACTGGCGTATGTAAAAATCTCCCTGCATTTTCGCCTTGCCAGTATAGGCAAGCGAGCTACTGGCATACCAATTACTAGAAAATTTGTTTCGTGCTTGCCAGTTACTGGCCTATGCCAGCTACTTTCCCAATTTACTGGCATGTCTGTACCCGGCTTAAAATGACGCTAGTAAAAGTGATTTGCATAAACACCTCCCTGATTAAAACTAGTTGTTCATTTAAAATCTACTTCATTTATATACAAACATTACATTCAGGAAGTTTGTCTGGTTTAGAACGTTTAGTTTTAGAAAATCCGAGTTTAAAGTGAAGACATTATTTTCGGAATTTCTCGAAAAATCCATTTTTTTTTCAAAATAACCAACTTGTAGATGGTGATAGACTTTCATTCATTTTCTTGAACATTCGAATCAGAAGATGTTGTCTCTATCTCATATGTTTTTGTCACTGTCGTCATGAGTTTAAAAATGGTCCGGTTTACATTTTATCAAGCCCTCGTTTCGACATACTGCAAATAAAACAAATGGGTTAAATATGTCCCGCTTAAAAATACCTCCGGGACATTATTGTCCCACTAAGGTTATTCCGACAAAAATCAGGAATATTTTTAGAAATACGCTACTATATTAAAAAATGGTGTATCACTGATATAAATGCAGAAAAATATTTACTTACTATTCAGAAATCTCGATGAAAATAATAAAAAGCGAACTTAAACGTATTAAAACGTCGATCATGTGTGAAAATAAATATATAGCTGATGCCGGAGATCACGCAGTATTGCCAATTCGGTTTTATTTTCTTGCTTTTGCACTGAGAATGTCACTAAAGCAAAACTACGTTTAAATCGGGACGCATTTGAGCCAGTAAATATTTTTAAACTTTTAGCGGGACATATTTATCCCGAAGGTGCCAAAAGGGTTAAATAAATATAAGCTGAAATTTAATATTTTTATTATTTCATATTTTTTGGATTAAACCTATTAAAAAAAGTCTCTAAAAACAAGACGGACGAGCTGAAATTTGCTGAGAATGTCAGTTTTGAGACCCAAATAGTGAAAGTGATAAATTTTATTTATCATTATGCAAAAATTGCATACGAAAGCTTCACTCTTCATCCATAAAAAGATTTAGTGTTTTGTCGATAGGAAACTCTGATAAAAAAATATCGAATTTTTATCGTCGAGTTGATACAAATTTTATTTAAAAAATTGATTTCGTGCTCGTAACTGACATTCAAAATTACCGGTCTCTTTAAGGGTTGTTTCAGAGAGAACGGTTCATTTTATACAAAAAGTGCGAATAATTATTTTTGTTTAAAATTATCTCAGCTTTATTTCTTGTTTAAAACATTTTTTCTACGGTGTACAGAGTAGTGGTAGATCGATGTTTTTTGTCCCCCAGCCCCGTTTAGGGGGTACTAGTGGTGGCAAACTTTTTGCATTGACATTATTAGAAAAATTTAGCTTGTTTGTATGGTTTTTAGAGGTTCTGTTGCATTTTTGTCTCTGTCGCCTGGACTTTATTTGTAATATGATTATCCAAATATTTGAAAGTTTTCAATACAAAGATTTAAACCATTAAATGATTGTAAAAAAAAGAGAATGATAAAGTCTTCAGTCTTCACATCTACATCACATTCCTGTCCTTTCTTTTCTTTCATTATTTCTTGGTCAATTCATATATCTAACATGTTCTCAATAGTTTTAAAGTCAGTAATCATTCAAACATCATCTAACTGTTTTTCAAATTTCATATAATTTTCCCCTCAAAAAAAATCCTATTCCAACATTGCTCACCTTCTTTTGATCAACAACTAAATAGCACATTCATATTTAAAATTTTAGATTTTTACAAACCGAATCTATTACTACTAAAATACATTTTGTTCAGGGTGCTAGATGCTTCAAGCATAAAGGACCCCTATTATCTCTAATTGTTGATTACCTCCTTTTCTCCTTTAACCATCCCTCCTTCTTCAGTCTTTTTCTCTATTTCTCATCAAGTCTCTGAGGAACTCAGCCTCTTCAATTTTATATTATTCACATAGGTTATAACTCTGATTTCTTCAGCCTGTAGATTTTCAATTTACCAAACTTGTTTTCATTAATTTCTCACCATACTAACAGTCTTAAATAGTCATTTAAATACAAGGTCTTATATTAGCTTTAAATATTTACTATTTAAAATTTTTACCTGTCCTAGATGTGATAAACATAAAAGGATAATTT